TATTTAGTTCATATTCCCACCCACCTTTGCTGCCAAGCCGTGCTGTTTGGTAACCCAAGTAAGGCTGGAGCCCTTCAAAGACCTTTTCATTAAAAAACAAAAACAAACAAAACATGGTCTTGCTCGCTAGGAGTAGGGGCATGTACCTGCAATCCCAGCACTCAAGGGGCTACGCAGAAGGCCTGCCCCGAGTTCAAGGCCATTCTAGTTACAGGCAACACGGTCTCAAATGATGAAGATAATAAGGGGAAGGGGCATTACGGGAGGCTGGAGATAACCAGAATATATGCCACAGCAAGAGAACTGTTGAGTTTGAAGCCAGCCCAGATGTTGAATTATAGTGAATTGGTCTCAATTTTTTTAAAAAAGGACCTCGGTGTAGTGGTGCACACCTGTAATTCCAGCACTCAGGAGGCTGAAACAGGAAGATCACTGTGAGTTCCAGACCAACCTAGCCTACAGTGTGAGCTCCAAGCCAGCCTGAGCTACATAGCAAGAACCTGTCTCAAAAAAAGAAAAAGTTCCACTAAAAATGCAGGCAGACTGCTTAGGCAAGTGCAGGGACTGGGTTTGATCCCTGGTACCACATGCCACCCTGACCCAGGCCTGGGGCACACCTATAATCCCAGTGCTGGGGAGACTGAAAACAGGTGGACCACTCCGAGTCCAAGCTGTGTAGTGAGGCCCTGTACCAACATTAAATAAATAAACAAATAGATAAATAAATGCAGGCAGGGGCTGCCAGACAGCTCAGCGGCATGTAAGTGCCTGCCTTGTAAGTGCAAGGTCCTAAATTCAATCCCCAGTAACCTCCCCCCCCAAAAAAAAAATAACTCAACTTAGCTAAAACTGCAGGCAGATATAAAAGGATGTATATTTGCTGCTCGTGGGCACCACCGAAGTATAGTTGCAGGCTCTCTTGCAAATGCCATCATGTCTAAGTCGAGTCTCCTAAGGAACTGGAACAGCTGCAGGGGCTCTGCACTGGAGGGCTGAGCCCTGAAACAACCGGTGAGTCTGGAAGCCGCTGAGGAATGTGGAACACCGATGGCCTTGGTGGTCAGGAGGTCCAAACAGCAAGTGCTGGGGCTTTGGGTTTGTCACTTATGCCACTGAGGAGGAGGTGGATGCGGCATTGAACGCAAGGCCACACAAGGCAGATGCAAGAATGTGGGACTGGAGGGAGCCATCTCAGATTCTCAAAGACCTGTGCCCACTGCACCGTGAAGATCTTTGTTGGGGGGGCCAGGGAGATGGCTCAGTAGACTAAGCACTTCCCTGGCAAGCACAAGGGCCTGAGTTCAATCCCCGGTTCCGAAAAAAAAAGATCTTTGTTGGAGGCATTAAAAAAGACACTGAAGAACACCTACAAGATTATTTTGAACAGGAGGGAAAAACTGAAGCAACTGAAATCATGACTGACCAAGGCACTGGAAAGAGGGGCTTTGCTTCTGTAACCTTTCCGGACATGATTCTATGGAGAGGACTATCATGCAGATATACCAGACTGTGAATGGCCACAAGTTATGACAGGACAGCCCTGTACGAGGAGATGGCCAGCGCTTCATCTAGCCAGAGGTCACAGTGGTTCTGGACTTTTTGCTGGCTGGTGTCTATAGAGGTGGTTCTGGTGGCAATGTCATTTTTTTTTGGGGGGGGGGCAGAACTGGGGATTGAACTCAGGCCCTTTCGCGGAGGGACAGTGCCAATTTTGGTCAGAGTTTTATGTATTTGTCCCCCCAAAGCCTCATGCAGTCATTGAGGTGCAGTTCTAGTTTGATTAATTCATGATCCAAGGCTGGGATTATGGGTCTGAGTACCGCTGGGATTTTTATGGGTGTGAGCACTACACCCAGCCTGGGGCAGACAGTCTGAATCTAAGGAGACAGATTGCTCTGTGGCCACTGTTGCTGCTACCCCTCCCTTGCTCTCTGCTCTTTGCCGCCGCCATGAAAGGTTGCTCTGCTATGTGCCGCTGTTGGCAGTCAGCTGAGTATGGAATGAAACCTCCAGTAACTGTGAGCTAATTAATCCTTTCCTTCATTTTGGGTGTTGGGTATTTATCCAAGTAACAAGAGAAAACTAACAGGAGGGAAGTTAAGCAGTGGAGGTGGCTTTGTGGCCGTACAGGGTTACCATGGATTTGGTCATGAAGGGAGCTGTTTTGGAGGTGGTGGAAGTTAGTGATTTTGGCAGTAACAGTGATCAATCTTCATATCTGGGGCCCATGAAGGGCACAAACTCTGGAGGCAGAAGATCCAAGCCCTGTGGTGGCAGAGGCCAATACTCTGCCAAACCACAAAATCAAGGGTGACTATAGCAGCTCTGGCAGCAGCAGTCACAATAGCAGTGGCAGGTTTAATACTGCCAGGGACAAAGTGCAAGAGGAGAACCACAGAAGTGTCAGGGAAGCTACGGGTACAACAGATAATCTGATCGTGATGCTGAATAAATGTCTTTAAGAAAAAAAAAAGGATGTATATCAGCTTGATATAGATTAATGGGCTGTGAAATGTTAAATGAAAAAACAATGTATCAGTATATGTTTTCCTTTACGTAAGAAAAAAATAAGGATATATATTCATAATTAACTTTAGTTCTAAAAATACCGAAAAAGAGGTCAGTCCCCGTAAGGGGCAAATCACAAAAGAGCAGTGTCTCAACCATGGTGGCAGACACCTGTAAGCCCAGCACTCAGGAGGCTGAGACAGGGCAGACTGCTCCGAGTCTGAGACCAGCCTGGGGGCTACACAAGCAAGCACAAGGCTGGCCTAACTGCACAGCAAGAATTTGTCTCAAAAAAAAAAGAAAGAAAAAGAAAGCAGCACTGGGAACAAGACGGCCATGAATACCTGTTTCTATAGTATTGATACCTGGACCATGTGAGTATGCTAACCATGCAAAAAGCTGCCTTCTATATTAAAAATGTGAGTATAATAGAATATAGTAAATATTTTTTTACATTTAAGATTTATCTCACACCTGATTTTAAATGCTGTTTTTTTCTTCTGGATATTACAAATATTTCTATGTGAAAAAAAAAGCTCCCTTTACACCCTGAGTTTTTGGGGTTTGTTTTTGAGACAGGGTCTTGTGACACAGTTCAGGCTGGCCTCAAACTCATGGCAATCCTTCTGCCTCAGCCTCCAAAGTGCTGAGATTACAGGTATGTGCCACCCTTCCTAGAAAAGTCACTTATGACCACAGACACTCTTTCCCATCCCAGACTGGGCAAGGCCTCTACAAGCCCTTCTTCTTTTTTTTTTTTTTAATTTTTTTGGCAGAACCAGGGATTGAAATGGGGCCCTTGTGCTTGCCAGAGAAGTACTTATTCTACTGAGCCATCTCCCCGGCCCCTACAGGCCCTTCTTGTGCACTGACAAATGTAGAAGCCATTTCTCTGACCCATCCAGAGGTGAATAAAGGACACGGTCACACTGCAGTGCCTTTATAGAGGAAATTTTATTGTTAATCATTTACCTTAACAGTTTCAGAAAGAGGAACAGATTAGCTCAGTCCAACATGATTGGCAGTTGGCAAAATCTAGTGAAGCAAGTGTCCTGATTGCTAAGGATTTAATTTGGATGCTTTTAATACTTAGCCATCTAACACTTCAAACATAATCCAGAATAAATGCATCGTTTCTTCCCTTTCCCTTTAACACTGCACCTACCTCACTTCATTATGGAAACAGTTTCATTAAATAATTCCCAGAGAAAACTACATCACTTGTTCCCAGAGGAACAAGCTCCCTGGAGAACAGAGCCATGAGGATAGTGCACAAAAGAAAACTTCAAAATAAAACTCTGTAGGATAATTTACTAGTCTAAGGAAACAAACCCAATATATTAAGAAATAAATCCAGTTACAAATGCACTCAAGAGGTCTATGTGGAGAGGTGGGTGAACACCTGAAAACAGCTGGCTATTTACAAGATACACAAGCAGGAACAGTGCACTTATCAGCCCAGCGCTGGCCCTCAGAAGCCGAAAGTGTTCTCTCCGCTGTAGGCCACGTATAAGAATCCATCTTCATCCTTTTCCTTCTCGTAAAGCTGCCCCATAGTTAGGCTTGAAAGAGAAAGAACAAAATAATCATTGAAAATGGAGTCGGGTGTCAGGAGGAAAAAAGCTGGCCTGAGGATGAGTTTGATCCTTGCTGGCAGGCACTAAAAATTACTCAGGTATCAGTGCCTGCTGTAACCTGTGACGTGTGCGAGAAGGGAACTGCAGCCACGCAAGGATCAGCAGTCAGTAGAGACAAGTAGATGCAAAGGGGGGCATGGTGGCACACACGTGTCTTCGCAGCACTTGGGAGGCTGAGGCAGGAGGACGACTGTGATTCAAGGCTAGTCTGAACTACATAACGACTGTCTCTACTCCCTCCCCACCCCCCAAAAAAACAGACTTCAAAAACCTAGGAGCAAAGTCTCCAATCCCTATCCTGGAAGCAGGCCCATTCATCTCACCTTTACAAGTAAATCCATTGAAAAAGAAAAAAACCAGCTCTTTGATTGAACCGTGGTCCCTGGGCTTTGCTGAGCTTGTTCTAAGTAGGTGCTTTAGACCACTGAGCCATCTCACCAGCCCCCCTAAATGTCTTTTAGACAGGACAAAGACAAAAGCAAGCACAATGAAGAGCCTTCGTGGGATGAAGGACCCTGGTAACAGCAGCAGAATGGACTGAGTCTTATTCAGACAGGTTTATTTGAAGATTTGTAAACTGGACTTAGCATGACAGGCACAGCAGGTCATTCTTGTGCTAAGTCCCCGGCCAACCTGTGCCCGGCCATCTGTATCAGCGCCATTTCCCTTAAACATAGTTGCATACTGTGTAAATCTCCCGCTGTGTCTGGGATCCAAACAGCCCTCCAGAAATAGAGGTTTCTTAATCTAAACAAGTGGGTGGGAGGCTGGCTTCCTAAAGACATAAAACAGATTGCAGTCGAGACTGAATCTAGTGCTACCATGAAACTGAGTTGTCCTGGCTCCAGAGTGTGTCTAGTAGCACCCGCAACCCCCCCGCCAGCTCTGGCCGTGTGACTGTACTATCCGAGACAGGCAAGACATGCGGACACACTGAGCAGCAGTGTGATACAAGCGGGAGGAAGACGCTGGTCCAGGGCACTAGCCCAGACAGGCACAAGTATGCTCAGAGTAGCCGTGCGCACGGCAGATGCCTGGAATCCCAGCCCCTGGGAGGCTGAGGCACAATAACCATGAGTTCAAGGCTAGCCTGGGCTACATAGTGAGTTTAGGACCAGCCTAAACTATACAGCAAAACCCTGACTCAAAACAAAAACAAAAAAAGCTTAAATTATAGGATACAGTGGACCAAGGGCACTGTGGGACATAAAGAGGTGCCCCAGGTCTCAACTTGATGGAGCAATAATCTCCCTGCTGCTCTGAAACTGGTGCTGACTGGGACTTGTGTGTAAATGGGGACAAAGGCCACACTCATAAAGGGGCGTTTTTCCTTTCCTATGCTTTCTACCCCATGTGCAAGCTGAGCTCTGGTGGCTGTGAGTAAATGATTAAGTACCAGTGTGAGGGTGGATGAATATGAATGAGATGACCTATCATCAGCATCTCATATGATAAAGCAACGCTTCAGGGTGCTGATGCACACCTGTGTGTGATCTCAGCACTCAGGAGGCTGAGTCAGGAGGATCACCGTGCGCTCAGGGCCATCCTGTACTACAAAGTGAGACCCTGCGTCAAAAAAAATAAAAATAGTACTGCCTGTGAGATTTTTTAATCTTGAATTTAGAAAATCAGAACTGCCTGAAAAAAATATATAAGTATAAAAATAAATAAGATAACCTCTTTAATAAATAGTGCTGGAGAAACTGGCTCTACATATGCTGAAAATTAAAATTGGATTCATATCTTTTAACATGCACTAAGCTAAATTTGAAATGGAGCAATGATAAAAATGTAAGACAGAAACATTAAATCTGCTGGAAGACAATAGGTAAAACTCTTGAAGACAATGGTGTAGGCAAAGACTTTGTAAATAAAATCCCAATCACACAGGACCTATCACAGAAAATCAATCTCATTAAAAAGGTTTTTTTCCCCGTTGTTTTTTTCTTTGTATTTTAGGACAGGGTCTACAGGGTCTCACTACACAGATCAGACTCATAGTGATTCTCCCGATTTCAGCCTCCCAAGCACTGGGATTATAGGCGTGCACCACTATGCCATCTCAGTGCGCCCCCGGGGCAGGGCTGGCACGGCGCACCAGGCATTGAACCCAGGCCGATGTGTCTACCTAAATGGGCACTTTAATCCGCTGAGCTATTTGGCCAGCTCTTTCCTTAAAGTTTTTGCACAACAAGAGAAACCATCAACAGAGTGAAGAGACAACCCATAATGTGGGGGGAAAAATGTTTGCCAGCTGTTCCTCAAAGAATTACTATTGAAAACACCATAAAGAACTCAAAAATATCAGACCTCCCACATAAAGAGACAAATTAAAAAAGGGCATCTGAGTTGAATACACATTTCTGAAATGAAATAGAGCAAGTAAACGTATGAAAAAAATGTTCATTATCACTGGTCTTTGAGAGATGCAAATTGAAACAACAGCGAGATTCTAATCTCACCCCAGAAAGAACAGCTATTACCAAGAAATCAACCAATAACAAATGCTAGAGTGTCTATGGGTGAAAAAGAACCCTTCTCCACTGTTGGCAGGAGTGTAGACTGGTACAATCACTGTGGAAACTGATGTGGAGATTCTTCAAAAAACTAGGACTGGGGCCGGGGATGTGGCTCAGTGGCGCAGTGCCTGCCTAGCAAGCGAGAGGCCCCGAGTTTGATTCCTGGTACCAAAAAGAAAATAGTAAAAATAAGACCAAAAAAAGTCCCTTTGGGAAAAAAAAAAAAAAAAAAACACCTTTATGGACTGGGGAGATGGCTCAGTGGAGTAAGTGCTTCCCTGGCAAGCATAGGGGCCTGCGTTCTAATCCCTGGTTCTGAAAAAAAAAAAAAAACAAACTAGGACTGGAGGTCCCATTTCACTCAGCTATTCCTGGCTGGGTATCTTCCCAGAATTTTAAAACATCGTACCACAGTGATATATGTGTACCCATGTTTATAGCGGCACAATTTGTCATAGCTAGATCTTGAAAACAATCCAAATGCCCATCAACTGAGGAAGGGATTTTTTAAAATGCCGTATTTTTATACAGTAGTATACTACTCAGCCATGAAGAATACACCGGAGACATTTTTAGGTAAATGGATGCAACTCAGGACCATACTCATAAATGAAATAAACCAGATGCACATGTGTAACATTATATTGTCTCCCTGCAGATTAAAATCCAAAATGTAGCTGGGGAGACAGCCAGTGGCATAAGCGCCTACCTGACAAGAGCAAGGGCCTGAGTTCGATCTCCAATACCAAAAAAAAAAGGCCCAAAACGTACAATAGGTATTGTAAAATGGGAAGAAAATGTTCTTTTTTTTTGACTATCTGACAAGAGCAAGGTCCTGAGTTCGATCTCCAATACCAAAAAAAAGGTCCAAAACGTACATTAGGTATTGTAAAATGGGAAGAAACTGATCTTTTTTTTTTTGTTTTTTTGAGGACCCGGGGATTGAACTCAGGTCCTCGCGCTTTCCAGGGAAGCGCCTATTCCACTGAGCCATCTCCCCAGCCCTCCCCCCCAAGAAACTGTTCTAAAACAAAGAAACTGGGATGAGGAAATGGAGAAAAGGAAAGCTTTGTGATAATCTTGCACTCTGAGTAACAATACATAACATTTGAAACACTGTTACCCTCCTATTATCTTGTTTTGAAATGTTATTTTTCTCTTTTTAAAATTTTTTCTCTCTTAAAAAAAAACTGCAAAGGGTCACCCATTTATAACATTCAGCAGATTAAAACACCTGTTTAGGCAGACACTGGGGCAGGGCTCAATCCTGTCACACGTTGCCGGCCCCGCCCCCAAGGGACACTGAGACTGCCACTGAGGTGCACCTGTAATCCCAGTGCTGGGGAGGCTGAAAACAGGAGGATCACTATGCGTCTGAGCTGTGTAGTGAGACCCTGAACCAAATAAATTAAAAAAAACAACAACAACAAAAACCCGGCCTCAAACAGCATTACTTAATAAAAATTCCTGCTGTGATAGAAACGTCCAATGTCACTGCTGTCCAGAATAGTAGCCACAGCTACATTTAGCAAGTGAAATGTGACTCATCTAATTGGGATGTGCTGTAGGTATAAAACATAACATTTCAAAGACAGTGTCAAATAAATTATCTAGATTTTTATTACATGTTGAAAAATTTTAGATATACATTAAATAGCTAAAAATAATTTTACTTTTTTGATGTGGCTACTAGAAAATTTTACAGTCATGAGCAGCAGCACCTCAGAACACAGGTCTTGGAAAGGGCAGTGGCAGGGAGAGGGAAGCGGCTGGCTACAGTGCAGTCTCCACTTTTTGGCACCTGGGAATCCCGGGGAACTTTAATCAAGCCAAGCCCCACCCCAGGCCAATTACATCAGAATGTCTGGAGGTGGACCCAGGCATCCGCATTTTTTTTTTTAAATACCTGAGATGATTCTAGGGTACCAGGATTAAAAACAAAGATGCCTATCCTTTTGGGGATGGGGAGTGGCCATGTGACTAAGGAACAGAGTGACAAACCAGAAGTGAATGAGCAGCCAGAAATTAGCAGAGGTGCTACTCATAGACCTAAGCACCCCAAGACTCAACCTGGTGGCTGGGACCACCCAAAAAGAAATCTCACTTTTCTGGGAGACTTCTCACACTGGGGCTAATGGGAGGGGCCGAGGAGATGGCTCAGTAGTATAGGTGCTTCCCTGGCAAGCCCAAGGGCCCAAGTTCAATCCCCAATTCTGCAAAAAAAAAAAAAAAAAAGAGGCTAATGGGAAACCTGGACAGCTAGTGCCATAGTGCCTTAGCTCTTTTCACTGCACTCAGTGAAGTACCGGGGAGCCTTTGTGCCTGTGGAACATCTATCTCCCCGCTGCTATTAACCAAATGAGTTTAAACAGTAGCAAACACTGCAGTTCAAAGACAACTACTCCT